TAAAAAGAAGATAATATAGCTTAGTTTTCTTTTTTTACTATACAGATGTATCTCATAGGTGTTCCAGTTCTATCAGCTCCGTTTTTTAAATTTGTTTGTGGGTTAATATCACTTACTATTGAACTCTTTATTTTTTGTTACGGATTCAACCACATTGAAACTGCGGTAAGATAATTTTATTTTTTCTCGATTTTTTCTTCCCAAAAATGTTGATGTCTATTGTTTAATTTCTGTAATTCCGTGCTACTCACAGAAATCTATACTGAATTTTGGATTATACAATAGCAATTGGACTGAAATGGATTTGACATTTAAAAAGACTATGTTGTTGGCTATGAAGATGAATTCTTCCCATAAACGAGCGATGAAAGTTTCACCTAATTCCGCTGTTGGTTTGGAAATGTTTGCTAGGGTTAGTATTTTAATATTTATCTGATTTTTTTAATATAATATTTGAATACCATATTTGTATGTTACATAAAATACACAATATACCAAAAAAAAAAAAATGAAAAATCGGAAATTTTTATTAAATTCATTATTCATATAATTTTGCGTTAGAAATAAATTCAATATTAATAAAATATATTATTATATATAACCATGATAAATTTCAGGTGATGAACATGTCATACTCAATAGTTTCCGTATTACTAAATTCAAGATCATAAAATGCCTAGTATGGAACACGAATAATCAAACAATGAGTTGAATATTAGATTTATGTTTATTGGTTTAATTCAAATTGAATTAACATGTTTTAATAACATGGTTTTTTACATTTAAACTATATTTTTAGTTGATGCTTGAACAAAATGTATACAATGATTAAATAACTTTAAGCTTTTCATAGTTTATTCATTATTTCTATACTGTTAAAAAACTGTATTAGTTTAAGAATGTAATAATTGTGTTCTGCACGACATACTAGGAAATCTGGAGTTAGTTATTAATCATAAAAAAATATTGATTTTATTTAATATTGAGTAGTTTTTGAGTGATGATAATACATTTTTATTTTTTTTGATGCATCTTAATTACAATTCTGGATACTCTAATGACCAAAGGTTATAATACTTTCAATTTATATTTTTTTTAAATTAACGTCTTGATTTGTTGTCTGGATCTGGCCCAAGTGAGACATTTAAATAGTGGTTTGCGGCACAACCATGATTTCTGCCCTTCCGGCAATAGAAAACCATTATAAAAATTGTATTAAGATTGTTTGCGCTGTGCGCGATAAGACCGCGTTTAATTATCATTTTTAAAAATATTATTATAATTGTTATGCAACTTATATTATGCATGTTGAAATCTAATTTGTTTTTATATATATCATCCTCATTAAAATATTATTATAATTGTTTATATGCATGACCCTCATTATAATAATATTATTTATTTTATTTTTGTATACTATTTAATGCATGTTATTATATTTATTCTATTTGTGCGTTCATCGGCGATTTCACTATGGGGGTTTCGCGCTTTCTGTCACAGAACACGAGACCGGTCCGGTGTAATCACTGATTCTCCCGGTTTAGGCTCTTAAATTCTGTCACAGAACACGGGACCGACCCGGTGTAATCGCCGATGAACCAGGTATAAAAGGCCTAACGACACGACCATTTGTATCATTCTTCGTCTTTCCGAACTCGTAGCAAGACCCACCCGGGCAGACTTGCGCGATTAGGAAAGACGAACTCCCCACACCTTCTCGGACGGTTTGTGGATCGGTCAAATGTTGCAATAGTCGGAGTTATTCTGGCATTGCATCGATCGGTACACCTACCCTATGGTGCAATAGTCGGAGTAATTCCGGCATTGCATCGGTCGACACATCGTCCGACAAGGCCCCCTCCCCCGTCGTATTGATAGTGCGCCCAGGGCCCCCGTCGTGTCGTTAGTCCGCCCAGTGCCGTGACCAGCAGTGGCCTATCACGTATTTTGTAAATGTACCTTAATTTTTCGTAAAGTGTGTTCATTCAGAACGTTTAAAATATATTATACTAATAAACAATTGCTGTTATTTTTAGTTCAAACAAAGATATTGTAGTAAAATTTGTTTTATTTGTACTAGTGAAACATTTATACTTATTATGTGACCACATATACATTAAATATATCCTTCAAACTAAAATTAATAACATTTGTACAACTTTTTATTTATACTTGTTTTGTGTCAAAATCTAGAACTATCATTCTTTTAGGAAATTTGTTTAAAAAAGTGATCAATATTTCTTTTTTATATTGTCAAATTCAACAAAATGTAGTTAAATGGGAGAGATCGTAACCCACATTTGGTCTATCTGGCCCATTTGATCCTCACAGAAGTCATAAATATCACGAGTGGTATCTCATGTTTCATTGGAAATGGTCAAGATTATACATAGATGTAGCTTTCTGTTATAGTTAAAAGTGCTGTTATGTTAGTTTTAACTCATAACTCATAATTGTATTCATATTTTCTACAAACCTAATATGAAAATAAAATTGAACAAAATCATGTTATCATTTATAAAAAATCATCTCATTTTCATCTAGATAAAAATGATTTTATCTATATCTAGATATATTTTAATTTATCATTATCTATCTCTATCTAGATATATTTTGAGTTCATATATCTTATCTATATCTAAATACAAAAAAAATTATCTAAGCACAACACTGGTTTTAAATATAAATAATCGAGTCAAAATATTTAAAAATTTGTATGAAGTGAATGAATTGATAAAATATACATATTATGGTCAACATTTTAAGTATATACAGTTATTCGCTTTTAAATTATAACAGAATAAGAAAATCCCTTCATGAGAAATCGAGTGAATATCTATAATGTCGAAAAAATTTCAACTTCAAATATTTATAAAAATTTATTTTGACTTTCTGGTTGAAATTTTTTTTTGATGAAGTAAGAAAAAGTTTATAAGAAATCTAGTATCAAATATTATAATATTAGATAAAAAAATTTTTTTTTTCAAATTTCTAGCTCAAACTAGTAAGCAAATTTTCGTGATTTTTACGATTCCTATTATAATTCTCCATTCAAATGCTCATAGAAAACTATTGTGGACTTATTCTCAACTTTTTTTTTTATTTTCCACTAACAAGAAATTACGAGAAACCCTGTATTACATTTTCAAGTTTTCTGACCGAGCGAAACATTTACCAGATATCGTCAGGCGGCGGTTAGACGTATCGTAAGACATATCCTCTACCAAGTGAACGCTCGAGACCAGTGCAATGGAACAAAGCCACACACATGAGCACAACTCGGCCGCCGAGGGTAATGATCTTATTTTGAATAAAGTATAGATTAAATGTGTAATCCACTCGGTAACATTGATATCACAAAAATTAAAAAACATGTTCAATTTGATCAAGAGGACGACCGGAACAATCGCTCTCCTTAGAAAAACGTCACATTTAGAAATGGTATTTATCAAAATACAAGTTAAAACTAACATATTTAAAATCTTTTTAGCTAAAATGTAGCTAATAGATTGCATATTCAAATAAATTAAGACATTTATTCAGCAATGGTTCCTTTCTACTTACAACAAATTGTACATTTGTACCTTGAACTAAATAATCATTAATCTTACGACAAATAATATTTTTATTAACCAGGATACTTTTTATTACACTCTATTTACTTATATTATAGAATACAAAACAACACTTTGTCAATAACATCGATCAACAGCATAGTAATAGTAATATAATCGTCAACCATCGAATAAAAAAATAAAAACAAATCACTAACACACACAAATACATACATTATAATATAGTATTACAACTGAATGTAAGGTAATAAATCATGTTTTATTAAACAAATATCGCGTGTTGAAAAAACTATTAAGTATTAAAATCGCACCAGGGATTAAAAATATACCTGAGTATATAATATTAATAACTGTCTCGCGTGCCTACTACAATATGCTGAGATGTATAATATTATGGCTTTTTGAGTAAATAAATGAATACACACGTCACAATATACAAACTAACCTTCAGTTTTTTCAAACGAGAGCCACTACCTCTCCATTTTACCATAAATTCTTAAGTGGAGATAACTTTGATACAACATACGAGTACTCCTAATTAAAAACTCCAAGTATACTCTATAGCTAGTCAGTTATTATGATGTTCATACTAAGGAAAATAATATTCTCTAAAAATGGTTTTACAAAAATATAAAGAAAAAAGTCATTTTGGACATAGTTGTAGTATTTATTATACTACAGGGAGTGGGACTAAGCATGATTTGTAAATCACTCCATATAGGTACTAACTTTTAGACCATATCATATGTAGCCTAATGCTCTACATATATTTATAAAATGTGTACTACCCCTAAATATGTTATATTATGTACGCCCCGCAGTACTGCACATTGGAATATAATGCAATAAAATAATTCCATAGTTGCCATAAGGACAGGGAGGGTTATGTTTGCAGTCAATAGAAAATTGTAGAATTGCGTATTGAGCACACATTATTATTATCATTCTCGTTAAGTTCATTCGGCAGACAGGTAAGCAGCTGAGACTATAAACTCGAACAAGACACATTTAGACAGTAGAACATAAAATGTAAGTTTTCTTTTTAACGTTGGCTAACCATTTTACTATTTAGCAATCTGTTGATACTGAAATAATATGCATTTCCTCTACACAATGGCATTCTCAAATTGTTTAGATTTATAAAATGTATTAATTTATTTATATTTACTTATATTTTATGATTTATGCGTCAAACATTTTCTTATAATAAGATGTAAGTTTATGGCAATATTATAGGTGATAAGTGATAACCAACCTACCATCTTACAATTTTACTCATATAAATATTATAAAATATCCTTTATGCAAATATCGTTTTTCGTATGGTTACAAATAACTATCATTGAACTCAAATTAAGCATAATATCCAGATCGTCCAATATAGTACCTAATCTATTGAATTCGGGTAAACCTTTAAGTCCCATCATGCACCGGAATGGTTCTTGGTGATTATTTTTTTACATAACGGTTTGAGATGAAACGTGGAAACCCAATAAACGCTGTTCTGAGGTGACGGATCTTACCTGTCCACAGGAGACGTTCGAAAATAGCTTCATCGGCAGCACCAACCGACAACGGCGGTGACGAGGCAACAAAAAATCAGGAGATATCAAGTGATGAAGGGGACTACAACTGCAAGGACAGTGGCACGATCGTGGATGTAGATCTGTTCAAAGCGATTGGCGTGTACCAGCTGCTGCACCCGGTCGAGTGCGGTTTGGACAGTGGCCTGTGCCGGATGGCAGTGAAGATAATCGTGGGCCTGACACTGGGGTTGCAGTCGATACAGGTGTGCCGGCTGTACCTGGCAAGGTACGACATCCCGATGTTCGCCAACATGGGCGTACTGGTCGTTTACGGATTAATGTGCCTGTTCAAGGGATACACGTTGGCGACCCATGCCGATAGGATATGCACCACGCTAGAGGTGGCTCGGTACTCTTTCACCAGTTGCGGTGGCCGCTACCCGTCCCTTATGCGCCAGTGCCGGGCCAGGTTGTCCACTATACTCCGCACGTTCGTCGGGCTCAGCTTCGGCACTCTATTTGTGTGGTTGATCATACCGTGGTTCTTGACGTCCGAGTACGACGACAAGCCCATCGTCTGGGCTGTAGTGTACGTAGTCGAGTCCATCATATTCACCGTGAATGTGTTCTGCTGGACGTCGTTTGATTGCTACCTGGTCACCATGTGTTTCGTGTTTGAGGCCGTGTTCCGCACTATGAGCTACGGCTACGAGAATGTCGGCCGAGTGCACCGCCTGTATCCACACGCCGTTCAACCATTCTTAGACTACCGTAGTAAAGATTCGGGTGAGTGTTTCTGATATCAACAGCATACCAATATAATTTTTGCAGACTTGGCTAAAGGGTGACCACGAAAATTTCATTTGAAAAAAAAATACTCAACTCTAAATACCATTCCCAAACGTTGATTAATATTGTTTTAATATTTGAAGATATCTTAGAGACAATACTGTTTGCCGTTAGGTAATCCAGTAATATATTATACTGTGCTACATCCACAGTAAGCATACTGCATGACTCGTGTTTGTCTACTACTTTTGGTTTCAATATTTTGATATAAAACAATGCATTTATTCTTTTGTATTTATTTCGCGTAAATGTTTCTTTTCTTTTACTTACATTCAGTATAATAAAATAACATTGAAATAACAGGATTAAAAACGCACAATATAACCCGTTCCGTTCCATCCCCATTTTCGTTGGACACGAACACGCGTATATAATTATAACGATATGGACTGGCGTCCCGTTTAAACCTTATTATAATATAATCAACAGTACATTCCTGTATAACCGTGTAATCAAAAGGTTAGTCCAGGTACAATAATAAATAAGTATCCAAGGGGAGCGGGTCTAATTAATAAGGTATAAAGGTGAAGAATGATGATTAAAGTACTTAAACCACGGGAGGAAAAGTCAAAAGAACAGTCCTTGAGATTACGTGATTATTCTACAGTCTTCTACAAATAAAAAGTCATTGGTTTAACAATTATATAAAATAAAATATATTATATAATATTTAATAAATGCAGTTATAATAATACTATTTAATAGTGTTGGCCAGCGATATATTTTTAATAATCGCGATATCGGAAAAATACCGATATCGATTTAAATTTTTACACAATTATTATACAACAAGTTACATTTTATATAATTTAGTTTATTGTACGTAGCTCTGTCATGTTTCACATGCAAACAAAATCTATTTGTGCTGGCTCTATAGAAGCGAGACACTTAAAGTGGTGTATCCAGAAATATTTAATGCTTAAGAAAAATTGATATAATTGACAAAAAAATAAAAATCATACATCATAACGAAACAAATATATTCCACACTTATATATAAAATTATACTAAAAAAATTAATCAAATTAAATATCTGATATAATTCATATCAAACTTTTCACATATTCCTAAACATATATAAATGTACTGTAATCGAGCAATAGCAAAGCATTGCCGGATCAGCAAGTATAATTATAAAATTATTAATTAATAACGAAATAAAATCATTACGAGGTCTCACCGTGAGTTAACAACCGGCACTGAATTTAGATTAAATTGTTTAGTGTGTTGAACTATTTCTTTGAAATATATCGCAATATGCTATAATTTATTATTGATAAAAGGAATAAAAGTGAATGTCCGTCAACTTTATTGTTTGAGCCGATATCGCGATATTTTCGATAATTATTTTTAAATAACGATATCGAAATTATTCGGAAAATACCCACAATATCGATATCGTATCGAATTATCGACATCGTTGGCCAGCACTACTATTTAATAACACAATGCTCAGTAGATAATCAAAAATGCAATTACACAGGGTGCGTACTATTATCGAAGCATTGGCCGTAGGCTTTTCCGAGAAGATTACAGACGGAAGAAGCATCCGTGAAAGAGATACTCAAATCGAAGGGGCTAGGATAAGTAGAGGTTGGGCCTATATACGAGTAGAAGAGTCCCGAACATCTCATATTCAGATATGAATTGACCTGATGAGGCAGAGCCCCTTCACACCAGTCAGTTCTATTATTTTGAACTTATAATTTTGAACATAGAATTATTTAGACTAAGAAAATGTTCGAGTCAAACCGATTATTTTCTAAAATACTTCTGAATCAAATATTTTAATATAGCGTAATATTTCATCAGTTAACGTCAAAGTGTTTGAATTGGAATAAATCATACAGTTATACAACATTCAACGGCCTCCGCATTCATTTCGATGAGTACACCTCATCCTGTTCCTTTCAATGACACCTGTAGTCGCCAGACTACTACAATAACAGATATCACGGTTTAAAGCTCATTGTAAACTTACGATTTGAACCAGTCTATAACTAAGAATAATAGTTTAATGGACCTTACATTTTGTTCCATTATAATAACATGTACAAATTAGTTGTTTCACATGATGAGTACATGACGTATAAATCATGCTTAATAATATGTCAACGGGTCATAGATGATTATCAAGTCACATGTTTACCTGAAAACATTTCTCTTCAGTGTTGACGAATCGCCTCTTTGCCGTCCCAGTTTTTCAGCTGATAAATACATCCCGTGACCCGTGTTAATGCTATAATATGCATGATATTAATACGATATGCACTTTACCTGTTTACCTGTATTGCAGACATTCAAAGCGACGTACCACTAAAATTCCCGGACCATTATGATGATTTGATTAACCACATTAAGGACAATCAAAAGATAGTCGAGTAGGTATACAAGTTTTATTAACGACTTATTTCAATATTAAGTAAAATACAAACTATAATATATATTTTTGATAAAATACACAATACTATTAATTATTATACTTAAACATGCACAGATTGATCGGTTTATTATGTTTGATTGGTAATTAATCCAAATAAACTTTAAACCACATTAATATTAATACAATTTTTTAGTTTTAAAACATGTGCTTTAGAATGGTTGCAATCCTTCTATTGTATAAAATAATGCATTCAATTTGTTTCCATTCTCTGTAATACTAATAGGAAGTACGAAACATTTTTCGATGTCGTCCAACCTGTGGTCTTGCTTCAAATTGCTGATGGTTCGTACTCCGTAATCACATTGATTTTTCTCATCTCAATTGTAAGTGTACATTATCAATTATAAACGACAATGCGATTTAAAAAACTTATTTTGAATTTAATTATGTGTCCACAGTCGTATCTTAATGGTGATTCAATTATATCCCCGGCGATTTTGAAATTTTTTTGCGGCCTGGCCTCGGTCATCATTGAACTGTTCATCTTTTGTTACGGATTCAACCACATAGAAGTCGGGGTAAAGTAAAAAACTGAATCTATCAAATATGTAATTCATTTATTATACATATACTTACTGTCTAGAGATCCACTGTAAATTTCGGGTTGTACTGCTGTGATTGGACAGAGAAGGATTTAAAATTTAAAAAGACTGTGTTGTTGGCCATGTCCATGAACTCTGCTCACAAGCAAGTGATGAAATTGTCACCAAATTCCATCGTAAATCTGGAAATGTTCGCCCGGGTATAAATTAAATAAATTTCAGTTGTTTATTTTATTTGTACATTTTGTATGCATATTGCACATGTCTACGATAACGGCTAGGACGCTTCTTGTTTGTTCAGTTTTTTAACAATAATGATTAATTTAACATAACTTATTGCTCTAAACATTTCAGGTGATGAACATGTCTTATACGATAGTATCTACATTACTAAGTTAAAGTAATGAACAAGCAACTGACGGAAGGGACCTGTAGTTTATAAAGTAGCAAACTAATCTTTCAATCAATCAAGGATTTTTTTGAATACGTTTTAAAGACTTAAATATCTGTATTTTTTTTTTTGAATACTTAGATTACAGATGGTATCACTTTCAGGTTACCTTTCTTTTAATAAAATAGTATGATGTAATTCGTCATTGAAATATGTGAACCAAGATATATTTTTAAACAGATTTTATATGACTATTTCGGTTGTATGTAAATAATATATTCTTGATGATAATGATTATATTTTAGACTCTAAGTGGAGCTATATAATCATCGATTTTATAATGTAAATCCTAATCCAACTTTATATTTATTATAGTCTCAATTTATGTAAGAAAATATGTAGAACTTTGTGCTTTTTTAAACAAAGAGGGGAAGTGGATGTCGCTCATCTGTACAATTGTTTATAAGTGGGTCTGGTGCTTAATATAAATTTAAAAATAGTAAAATATAACCTTTTTGTCTTTTTGTTTAATTAAAAAAAAAAGACATCTCTTATTGCTATAGTTGACTTTTGTTCCAATGTACATGTCTTTTTTTTTACTCTTTCACATATAAAATTACATGTGGTTTTATTTTTGTTGAACTAGGGGTACTTTTAATTTTTTTTGCTAAATCTTTGTGCACTTACCATCTATTTATATATACGGTGTACATACGCTATATAATGATCATGATCATCAAAAACTGCTCCGGATAATATATATTTAAAAATTATTTAAAACAATTAATTAAATAATATATTATTTTGAAATAATTATACATATACAATACGGCGGTCAATACCTGTTATTGTGAATTGTCAGACTACACTGCAAGTCAGCCAATGAGTACCTTGATATTCAGTAATTTAATCTGTTTCAATAAATAAATTATTTTCAAAAAAAAAAAAATACCATAGATATACATGACATTTTTACTGAATATTTATAACGGTGTTTTCTATAAACCATACAATTTTAACAACAAATTTTTATAAGCGTTTGAATTTTGACAAAATAAGTAAAAGTCGCGAAAATGTGCAAAATATTTTGAGTTAGAAATTCATAAAAATGTTTCGTTTTATATCTAAGTTTTTAAAACTTAATACAAGATTCCTTATAAGTTTGTCTGCCTTTACCAAAAAAAAAATTCTACCGGAAAGTCAAACTAAATTTTTATAAGCATTTGAAGTTGAAATTTTGACAACATTGGATATTCACTCCATTTCTCATATAGTGATTTTTACTTATTTTTTTATAATGGAAAAACCAATAATTGAAGATATTTGAAATTCACACAGTTTGTTTATATTTTCAATTCATATACTTAATACAATTTTACTGTTTACAAACAATTTGAATTTTTTTAGTTTATTTAGTTGTTTTTTTTCAGGAGGCTAATAAAATGTTAATAAAATTGTATTTGTTGGGCAAAAAAGCTTGAAAATGCAATAAAATTCTCCTGATAGATATAATATACAATATTAGTTAAAAAATATTTAAGACCCGTAGGTACGATTTTTGTAATGAGCATTTAAAGTTTAAATTTTAACAAAATTCACATCATTTGAAATGTACAAATAATTTTATAATTTTTAAGATTTTTGAAATATTCAACTTTTGTAGATTAGGGTTGAAAATTCAAAACAAAGTTCCAAGCAAGTAGGTTATCCTGTTATTAAAAAAACAAAAAAATATTATCACAGATTTTTTATGTTCAAATATGAACTAAATTAAAGATTCAATTGCCAAGAAGAATGATTTATGTTATTTTGTTGTAAATTAAAAATATTATTCGGGGGTATTTGTAACTTTTAAAGTATATTATTATATTTTATACACACAATGACTTTTCAAATGTACTTTTTTTTTAATGAATTTAATCTACTGCGTGTAGTACTAATACTTACTACCTAGTAAAATAAATTACTTTAATTAAAATAATCATCGAATATACTAAATTATTAATTAATATTATAGACTGACAGACCGTCTTCGCTCAGAATCGTTTTTCGTATATAATGATTTTTTATCGTTGAATTCAAACTTAACACCATTTATTACAGTGACCCAATTGTAACCTAATGTACAGCAGAGCAACCTCCACGTACCAGCTTTTTTTAAACATAATTTTCAATATCTTAACATTTTTAACTTAACTGATTTTTATTGCAAAATATTTATTAAATAATGAGTTACTTTTAATCAAGTCCTAGTAGCGTAGTTTGTTTATAAAATATAAAATAATCAAATATGGTAAAAATTATTATTATTGATGATGTCACGTATTACATCAAAATTTACTTTTTATTATTGTAAAACCAGAAAACGGGCTATTTATGTACATAAAAAAATAATAAGTTAGTTGTTAGTTTCCAAATAAATTTTAACTTAACTGAATTAAAAATAAAATTAGGAGAACTATTAACTTAAAACTTTTTGAAATGTTTCATATCGACTTAACTTAACTCAGTTAAAAATTTTCATTAACTAGCCCAGGCTTGCAGTTATTATTACACTAAATTATTTTTTACACATAGGTACTCACATAACATATTATCTAACTCTGATTTATTGCAATAATTATTTATTTTCTTAAACAAAATATTTCAGGATTAATAAATTATAAATTAATTAATAATAAAAATAATTGATTTGAACGATATTGTATTAAGATGTACTTGTAGATTTGTGGCTACTGCTTCTATGTTACGTGATTCGGTGAAAATTGTAGTATCATCTGCAAAGAGGGCGATGTTCGTACGAGGTGACTGAGGGATATCATATACGTAGATGTTGAAAAGTATGGGACCAAGCTTAGAGCCCTGAGGTACACCAGCAGATATAGGCATAAGATCAGAGGTGTTATCATTTATTTTAACAGCAAACTGCCTGTTAAGTAGAAATGAGTTTATAATATTGAACAAGTAAGATGGAGTATTTATGGATTTTAGTTTAAACAGCAGGCCCTCGTACCAAACTTTGTCAAATGCTTTTGATATATCTATAAAAACAGCTCCGGTATGACAATGTTTTTCAAATGCGGTATTGATATGTTCAGTTATTCTAAATAATTGTTGAACCGTAGAATGATTAGATCTAAACCCGAATTGGAATTTTGGTATGAGGTCTATGGCATTTAAATAGAACAGAAGTCTAGTGTGAATTATTTTTTCAAATAGTTTTGAAATTGATTTAAGCATACTAATAACTACCTACCTATAATTGTAACATCATTATTAACAAGCAGACTAGTAGAACAGTTTTTATTAGTACAACGGTATCGGATACTTCCACATTTTTTCAGTACATTGAATTCCCTGTATTTATATCCATCAACTAAGATGCACGGCTTACCTTTTTCTGTTTTTAATTTTTTTGGAATTTTTAGATCCATTTTAATAATTGACACACTATTTGACACTATACACGTTACACAACATACGTTCACTTTATACGCGATACAAATTGCGAATGAAACATAAATACCAACATCCAACACCGATATGACGATATCGCTTATTAAGACAATTTTATCTTTATTATCTTAATTTATTGCTTTACACCAAGTAACCTATTAGTAACCTAACCAATCAGATAAAATTATAAAAATAAATATGAATACCAATACTTGGTCGTTCAATTTTGTATATGTATATAATATCAACAAACAAATAATATTGAGTATATTGACTTTAATATAATTTATAATACTATATATTTTCTTTTTGAAAAAGTGCATTTTATGAATTTATAGTTTGAGTGCATGTAATATACTAATATGTATAATATACAAGTTATAGAAAGTATGTATTGTATGTATACATTATTTTATGTTGCATATAAATTATTATTTATATTATATACACATATCATTTGGTGCGCAATGGTGTTGTGATTTTAACAGGTATAAAAAGGGATCGGGGCGCAATCGTGTTGCAAATTGTTTGCGCAATCGTGGTGTAGGTAATTAGTCGGGTCAAAAAAGGAAAATTTGCGCAAATATGTTGTAGCCGTTTTAGAGGTCTAGTTAGGTGAACCAGGCAAATAGTAACACCATAATACGGCGTAGTATATAATAATTAATTTGTAATATCTCACATTAAATTTTATTTAAACTACATAATGCATAAATACATAATATAAAAAAACTGCGCCAGCTATACGTCGCGATGAATACACGCCGGGTGCATATTCCATCGGTCGGTACACCATCGTAAAAAATTGCGGAAATTAATGGACCATATTAGTTTTCTGGCAAATTTTCTCAGCTTTTTGCCAACATACAACATTTATTTTCTCACCTCCCGGAAGGCATTAGCAATCGGAAAAAACCACAGAATAGTCGGCGCGAAGTTACGTCGGTCCTTGCTACATGCCTTTGTAATCTTAAAAGCATAAATTAATGATTAATTTCTAACACAACATTATAATTGAGTATAATATATGATATTCTACTAGAGTTTTCTACTGCTTGAATATTACTTACATTATTTTGTTTTTACAGTAGATTCAGTGTAACGATGGATATTAACTATTTTAGTAATCCCTCGAAGTTGGTAGAATAAATGAAAAATGTCTGATGAAGTGTTTTAATAGGCTTAATAATGTTCAGCATACCCGAATTTGTTTTATATAATTACATTTTTGTTTAAACTTACACAACTAAGAAAAATCAATAATTATAATTAAAAGTAATAATGCTCCTTGAAAGATACCTTGAATATGTTAGACTGCCGAACGTTTAACAAATGTTTTAACAAACAACATTTCATAATAATTGGCATTATTAAAAACTGATCAAATCAAGATAAATTACTTCTAAGTTTGACAAATTTTTAATTGATAATTAATTTTACATATTTAAAATGAGTATCTACATATTGGACCATCAAATACATCTATTTTCATAAGCAGGGCTATATAGGAGTTTTTTTTATACTAACATTTTCATTTTCAATAAAAAAAACTAATAACTAAAAAAGACTTAAGTTAAGATTAGAGATGTGTAAAAGCTTTTATTTTATAGTATAAAATTAATGGTTTTTAAGTCATAATTATAATTTAACACTTAAAAATGGATAAGTTTAATAGTCTAGATGAAAGACATAATTGGGTTTACTGAAATTTGGCCGAATTCTACCAAAGATATCAACTATCAATGTGTTCATTATCTTTGATAAGTTAATATCAAATTAATATCCATTGTTCGGTTGTTTTCATAGTCTATTCACACAAAAGTTGGAAAAAAATCCCAAGTACAAAAATGAATCAAATTAGTATGCTTAGATTTTAGCAGTGTAAAATAATAACAAACAAAATAAAAATTGTACACAAGTATTAGTATTTTAAATTACTTTTGTTTATTTTTTATATTTAATAATTTTAATTCAATCACATATATAAACAAATGAAATATTTAAATGGATAATATGTGTCTTTAAATGTCTTAAAATATAACATAATATCAAATAATTATGAAATTTGATATAAACTTTAATTTTTTTTTTTAAATTTATTGTTTATGGCATCAACTGCGTGGTTATTAGCCAGGGGTTTTTTGGGATTGTTGGGTTACTGTAGGGTTACTGTAGGGTTAGGAAACTTGTGTGTGAAACTTTAATTGTATGTATGCATTATTCAAATTGTCTATTGAAATGAATTTATTATTATTTATTTATTTTATTGATTCATACGGGATGAACCCAATGACATTTTTTATTGTTTTTATATTTGAAAACTTAAATCTATTTAAATGAAAAGAGTGAAAAACAGTAAAAAGTATACATATAAACAACAATTTTAAGTTGATAATAAAAATAATACTGACAATACAATACAAAAATAAATATATACAAATATTTTATAAAAAGAAGAAACAATTAGATTATTATTTATTAATTATTACCATAGAACTCTGAGTGTCGAGTAAGCCACGCCCGTAACACTTTTTGGTCGCAACAGCTCAACCCATGAATCCAACTTGTCCTACTGTGCCCAAAGAAGATTCATTTCGAAAAATAAAAAAGCTACACTTTTTTAATTATAAATTTAACTTTACAACCGACCGGTGATAATGTAATACATTATCTTATTATGACCATACAATTGTAAGAAATTACGTTCAGATTTATTTGATCTATAGTTGCCCTATCTGCTATAGGTGAGTTGCGGCCTGACATGTCATTTACGTGTTGAAGACCGGTGAATTGCGGCCCGGTCATATTTTATCAATAAGTTAATTGCGGCCCGGGAAATTTATTTATTTTCACAGTTCTCTGCTAGCTGTAACCGTACCACTAACGGCTGTGAAAGTTTTCATTCACACCTAAATTCATCGTTCTACTCTAGTCATCCTAACATCTATAATTTTATTGATGTGTTAGTAGAAATTCAATCAGAAACGTATATCAAATGTAGAAGCAATTGAATTAAAACGAAGAAAATATGTGAAAAAGAAGCATTTATAAGACAACAGATGACAAAGCTAGGTAGCACAAAAAGAAATAGAGCAGTTTGATTTCGTCAAATCATTAAGTTTTAAGTTTTTTCCCAACCAATAAAATGTAAAATGTGGCCGCAACTCGTACGTCTGTTTTATAAACACGGGCCGCAACTCGCACGTCTGTTTCATAAACACGGGCCGCAATTCGTACGTTATTTAGGGATCGGGCCGCAACTCACCAACACCGTCCCTATATCGCCCAATTTAAATGAACAAATGAGTAACAATAGGTACCTATGGATATTTGTTTCTTATCAAAAAAGCCAACATATTTATAATATTAATAAACATAATTATTGTTCATTACATAATTTTAAAACTAATTTAAATAACAATTTTCTTTTTTTAAACACCAACATAAATCGATAATTTTTGTATATAGTTATAAATTATAATAATATTATGCAGTGGCGTCATTGGGGGGAGAGGGGCAAGGTGGGCATTTGCCCCGGTCTGATTTTAAAATCAGCCCAATGGGTCGGTGTCTGTTGCCATTTAACCATTATTATTCTTTATTAGAGCAATAACATGCCCATTTTTATAATATATTCAGAAAAAATTATACTGTGTAATACTGTAATGTGTACTAAGAAATTATTGACCCAGAATGAAACATTTTTAATTAATAATGGATAGTTGGAATATATTTATATTTAGACGCATGCTGGGACGTGTATGTGTGTGTGTGCGTTTGTAAGGCACTAATAAGGAAAAGGAATGCGTATGCACAATAATAATAATAATTAATATCATAATCCTAAAAATAACTAAATATTTCTATGAGCAAAAATCGATTGGCACTCTTATTTATCATTGATATTTGATCTCAGACTTCAATTAACATGCGACAGTCGTGTATCACAGACAACAGTAACCTATTCTGTGTTTTGTTAATATTTAGTTCAGTAACCATTCATTCTACCTACATTAAATTTTTTTTTTGTGACACATGTTCACATAATTCTTTTGATATGTACAATACATGTCATAAAAAAAATGGGCAGTGCGGCTAAAAACTGTAGTGCAAAAAAATAATAAATTATTTAATTAATAAATCATGCTAACAAAGACAGAGATGATGGAACTCATGACCTTTATTCAATTTCAAAAATTTTAAATCAACTTCCAAATGCTTTTCGAGAAACTCTTAAAATTATAAATATTCTTATGACTTAGCCTGTTACTACTGCATCCAATGAACGCTTTTGCTCTCCTCTAAAATTAGTTAAAACGCCTCATCTACGGAAAACAATGGAAAATGAACGGCTGAGTGATTTACTGGTTATTGCAGTGGAAACTGATGTATCAGGTAAAATTATTTAGATGATAGGTATGGTCGATATATTTTCAAAAATGAAAAAATAAGATGTTCTTTAATAAATTAATAATATTTTTCTTAATTAATAAAAATTGTTAAAATTGTTTATAGTTTTAATTGGTTTATGAATATAAAATTGTTTTTATAAAATATTTGTTACCATATATTTGCAAATTATGTTACTATATAAGGAGCGTAACAATTGGAGTAAAAAATATAAAAATTATGAAATAAGTAAAGTGAGAATGGTAATTTGATAAAAACGTAAGTAGATATGTGCTTGAGAAAGCGGTTTTTTTATTCATTCGGACCGGTCAAATCCTTTGCCCCCCTCTATTGAAAACTGAAAGGGCGCCACTGATATTATGTATTATTTTCGACAAAACGAGGGGAGAGATGGATAATGTAAATTATAAAAGTGGAGGTATCCTTCTCCACTTCGACCACTGAGCAGGCACTGTGTGAGACTGGCCGCGACCGAACATATGAATTATACAAAAGTACCCATGTCCCATATTATATATTATGTATGAATGAATAAACGAACTAGAGCAAATGTAGTAAAACCAACGAAGGTTACCGTTCGAAATCGGATAAAATTCTCTGAACTATAGTTCTAGACCATAATTTTTTACCTCGGTCGTAGCGGAAAGGTATAAGTTAACAATAAATAATAGATATAAACGCGTCAGTTAAACTCGTCGGTAAGGACTAGGGAACCTACGACACGCTGCTAATACTTCACAAAGGTACCTACATAAAGTCTCGCCCGCCCATTGCACACTATTCTCTTAAAGTCTTACCAGTGAATATAACCGTGCGTGGTCTCAAGACAATATTACTAAACTATAATATTATACTCACTAGACAATAATAGACATCGGAATCTACGAACATCTGAATACTCGTCTTATAGTATTGAAATAATAATATGTAAGTTTAATTTTTCTACAAGAAAATAATTAAAAACTCGGTTTGACTAAATTCCATACTTTAATATGGACGTGTTTAATTTGAATTCACTGATCAATGTAGGTATCTAACTATACGAAAACAAAGATTATGAGCAACGGGATATGTGGTCCAGTTTCTACTTTAAAAGACATTTTCCACTATGAAGTATACAAGTTTAAGTACCTATTTTATTCGTAATATCTATAAATATATAGATTTGGAAGATTAATAAATATAGGTCTATGCAAAAGGCATACATATATTTCAAATGTTTTTCTCATGTAGTTCTCATATATATCATATAATTTATAATATTATGTAAATAATATGATAAAACGTTATAATTTAAACTTAAAATTAGTATTATCCTGGGTGAATATAATATGATATTTTAAGAGCTATTAGTGGCAGTGGCGCAAATCATTTTATTTTACAGGTGGCAAATCTAGAAATTTTCTATGAGTAAGTCGTACAAGATCACTTCAGGGTTCCGGGACACTTAAGTACTTTTTTTCAAAATGTTCAAGAAAATTACTTTAAAAAATCTAACTAAGTGATCTAGCTAAAAATTAGTAGAGACTAGAGGGGAAAAAATAATTTTTTATATTAAATAATAATGTATATGGTATAGTTTATACTTTTATGGTATACAGAAATAATATTTGAACGTAAATACAAATGTGCCAACAAATACAAAACACCACAACAGTGCTTATGATCAATCTAATATAATAATACAACTTTCATCAGTAAAGACCAATATTAAGAATATTGTTAATAATAAAAAACAATTCCATTTATATCTCATTACATTTTTTAATAATTGTATACTATTTTTATTTTTATTTATTATTTATTCAACTCCGTGACCATATTTTATTTGCATATGTTAAAGGAACCTACAGTTGAAGTTGAAAATAGGATTCCAAATTTAGTATTTAAAAACTCCTGCCAATTTATTCATATTTATAGTAGGTGGATATTCGTATTTCAATATTTTATCATTTATATTAGTCCGTGAGTTGAAGCTCTTCGTGAGAATCTACCAATCGACGGTGAGTTGTTCATAAGTCATAACTATTATAATTACACAAAATTAAATTAACTTACCTGCCTTAATTCTAATTCATATTATACTATTATTATAAGTTGTAACCAAGGCTTTAATACAAAATAATTTTTTTGAATGTAAATATTTAGTATACAAGGAGTAGCTATAACCATTTGTTTTGTGTTTTATCAATCAAATTTGAACTTAAACAATGTAAAACATTGAGTTTATGAACACATTCAAAAACAATCATAGAAACAAAATTATTAATAATGATAAAAATAAAATAAAATAATTTATGTAACAATCTTTAATATGTGTGTGTGTGTTGGGGAGGTTAAAAATCTACAGCTTTGGAAATATGAATCTTGCTATTTACACCCGCATAACATTATGTTTTCTCTGTCTTACAACATAGTAAAATTGGGTTCAACAGTTCCCATTTTGTGTTGTTAGATTTAAATGATTTAATAATGATACAGTCATAGTGGATTGACCTATTACCGAACTAAAATGTAAGCACATTATCTGTGTTCTCTTGTTGGTTTTTTACCATGTTTTTATTTTTATACAAGTAATGAGAATTTTAATATTTTAATATTTTACACACTCGTAATAGTTGCTTAAAAATAAAAATTGTTCTTACCTATTTAAGTTTGATTATAAGTCGACTTACTATGATATTTTAGCTAACAAGTAACAACACACGCAATTGGATCTACTGAGTACGTTAATTTTGGTATGTTAAGCGTTAGTAAGACCAAGACGGCTGTAACGACGACCTCTTAATAAACCATTCACACATTCGACTTCACGACAGGAATAACCATCGTCTGAGAGGTTCAGCGCGGTCCAACGAAATCGACCCCCCACGTCGACGAGAAGGTGATGGAAAATCCCGAGAGAGTCGACTACGACAGCAATGGGGTAACGGGGAATCCTGCAGAAAAGGCAGAGGGCGGAGAGATGGATAATCCTCCGAAGAACGATACTGAAGGCGGTACGATCCTCGACGTGGAGCTGTTCAAGATTATCGGGGTTTACCAGCTGCTGCGCCCCGACGAGTTCGGCCTGAACGCTCGCCTGTGCCGGACGACTGCGATTGTAGTCGTGTGTCTCACGCTCGGGCTGCAGTCGATGCAAGTGTGCCGACTGTACCTGGCCAGACATGATCTACAGATGTTCGCCAACGTAGGGGTGATGATCATCAATGGGCTAATGTGCCTGCTCAAGGGCTACATGGTAGCAGCCAACGCGGACCGGATGAGCGCCACGCTGAATGCAGCCCGGTACGCGTTCACCGGTTGCGGTAACCGCGACCAGTCCAAGCTACGCCTGTGCCGGGCCAGGCTATCCACAATACTCCGGACTTTCGTCCGGCTCAGCTTCGGCACTCTGATCGTGTGGGTGGTAATGCCGTGGTTCATGGCGTCCGAGTACGACGACACGCCCTCCATCTGGGCGACGGTGTACGTCATCGAGTCCATCATACTGACGGTCAACGTGTTTTGCTGGACGTCGTTCGACTGTTACCTGGTCACCATGTGTTTTGTGTTGGAGGCCCTGTTCTGCACCATGTCTACTGGTTACGAGACCCTCGGCCGTCACCGGGCGGCCGCCAAATCATCGGCTGGCCAACAGTTGGCCATCGCGGGTAAGTGCAACAATTATTCGACCAAAATTCTTACCAAACGGAAATTAAAAAATAATACACGTAATGATAATAATAATCGTTTAACTAGTGGTATTTGAAAATGTTGACGGTTTTTCCGATTGATTAAATAGATGTATTAGTAGGCAAATAATGCATTAAGACGCGAACATTTAATACATAAGATAGGTATATCACAATTTTTTCATAAATATAGACAGCAGGTTTATTTTCCATAATTACATTAAGAATTCATATTTTTACTTTTTTAAGGTACCTACCTAATAAATAATAAATTAGATAAGGTCTGATGACATTAAAGATAATGTTTCTTATAAGTAATATACAAATACAAGTATTGAAGTGTGTCCCCGATTGTTCAAACTTTAGATTGTAGAAACCGAATAACGGTAAATAGGTTTGGTGCCTATACTGGTTATACCTACTTACATACCTATTCTATGAGCATTTTCGATCTTGCAGGCACGATAAGCGACGTATCGATATCGGATGTCAACTATGACGATTTGACAAGTCACATTCTTGACAATCAAAATATAATCGAGTGAGTACCGAGTACCTACCTATATACCTACGATAGAAATATAGAATAGAATATAGTTTAGGTACAATAAATGTTTTTAGATATAGTAAAAGCATTGATTTATTATAATAGGTATATAGTCTATCATAAAATCTATGGTAATAGTATAAATACTTAAGCTCTACCTGAAAATGTGATTTTCTACTTTACTTGTAGACAGTACGATGAATTTTTCGATGTCGTTCGTCCTATGGTTCTGGTTCAAATAGCCAATGGAATGTATTCAATAATCACTCTGATATTTCTCACTTTGCTGGTGAGTGACACGTCTCTGCGTTTGGTTAGGTTGGCCCGTCGGGGACACAAATATTAGTGAAACGCGATGACGAAGATATCAATAGTACATTGTTATAATCATTTCTAAAACATAATTCGATTTTATTTTTTGTCCAGACGTATCTCAGTGGTTATTCGATCGTATCAGCGCCATTTTTGAAATTTGTCTGCGGACTAGCTTCGCTCACCATTGAACTGTATATTTATTGTTACGGGTTCAACCACATTGAAGATGGGGTAAAACAAAACTCCATTTCATCAATCAAACATTTTGTCAGTTTTATTTATCGCGTTCGTGTATATTGTATATACTGTCTAGAAATCCACGGTGAATTTTGGACTGTACAGCAGCAATTGGACGGAGATGGATTTGAAATTTAAAAACACTCTGTTGATGGCTATGATCATGAACTCTGCTCACAAGCGAGTGATGAAAGTGTCGCCAAATTCCATCGTAAATCTGGAAATGTTCACCGGGGTAATACAATCAAATATATACAATATACTTCGGACTCGTGGCCAATAAGAGAAGCTTAGGTTTATTGTAATTTACTATTATCTTGATAATTTACAGGTGATGAACATGTCGTACTCGATAGTATCCGTGTTACTAAATTAAGAGAACACATCTAATAAGTACCTACCTTTCTGGCGAAAACATTTTGCATTAAAACGGATGAATATTATTTGTTCCACAGTTGGTAGGTACCTAGTACCTCTATGAATGCTTTAGCTTTAGCTTACTTAAGCGTATTATAAAATAAATATTGGAGTGAATGTTTTATGGGTTTGTATAATTTATGAACTAATATCTATAGCATATAATAGAAAAGCTAATAAATTTAAAAAATGTTCTTAATTGGCATTTACAAGATTAAACTATGTACCCAAAGTAGTGCATATTTTATTATAAAGATCTTAATTTGTATACTTGTTATTACAATATTTATATTGATATTTTGCACTTCATACAAATCTTATAAATACTTGTTGCTTCTTGATAATTACAATTAAGTAGGTATCTATTTTATAAATCTAGATTCTACGCATTATGTCTTATATCATTTAAGTTTTAAAATATTTTCAAACATGTAGGAAATTAATCTTCATACATTACAAACATAATATTGTCATATCTACTGATCACTAATAAGGAATTATAACTAAGTAGATACATTAAAATCAGGTTTTATTATAGTAGTGCTGTGCAAAATAACTCTATTATTAACTGACGATTAACATCTATAATATTATTTAAAACTGAACAATTAAATTTAATAAATATTAATTCGCTATGTATGTTTATACATGGTTTTATTAACTATGAAGTTTATTTTTAGTTATTATTACATGTGTATAATATGTTACCTATACTGAATATTTACAAATTCAACGAATCAATGTTTTTTTGGAATTTTAAATTTAAAAAAACGATTGATCGAACTTATATTTTTGTGCTCTTATGAGGCATACATTATATGAAAAATTATTGTTACATAATATTACGCCATTGCTAAATGTTGTATACATCTTAGTCTTATCACTAGGGTTCGGGACTTATTGCACTTAAAATTATCAAAATATGCAGTCCAAATCGTCAAAATATGCTTTAAAATATGCAGCTAATTTTTATTTTATTTTTAAAAAACGCATAAGGTATACCTATGTATTATAAATTAATATTATAAAAATACAAATTTAAAAATTAGGTAGGTACTTAATATAATAAAAATAATTTTTACACAGGTTACTCATCTCTATCTGTATCAACCTAGGATTCATTAGATTTTACCACAACTATACAATTGTCAATATTGTCGATAAAAAGGTTGATTATTAAGCGATAAAGAGACTTTCATCGTAAACAGACGTACGTGTTAGTACGAAAGACTACGACCATCCAATTATGATTTTTCCCGACAATTTTATGTTTATAAAAATATAAAAATGTGAAATATGCCTAAATATGTTTAAAAATTGTTCAAATATGCGGTTTTCTTAAAATATGACGAAATATGCAAAAATATACAAATTCAAACTTAGTATTTAATTTCGTAATTTCATAAGACACATTTATAACTCACTTAGAATAGACTACGACCACTACAAAAAAACATACTTATGCAAGAGGTCCCGAACACTACTTATCACATTTGTGAGTTTCAGTTATCAACCATTATTGATCATTTCAGATTTAACACATCATATTATTAAAGTTACCAAAGTACTAAATGTATAAAATGATGCATTATTTAATTTTTATGGTTGATATATTAAACTAATTTGTATTTTTTTCACAAGAAGTTGAATTATTTTTAAAACTTATTTTGTACAAAACTAAATTAAATATTGAATTTTATACTCTCTTAACATTTTAAAATATGTCGTTCCTGAAAAATTTAAAAATGTGCACTTAACCTATCTGTGTTTAACCATCAAAATATAATCTTAACAAACTCTAATCATGATTTTTTTTTAAATTAGTTAGTGGCTATACATTGTACTTTCTTACACAACAGTAATTAATTTAAAAAATAGCTCATAAAATATCAATGTTTTTTTATTGATTACATAAAAAAAAAAATTATAACTTTGTTCTTAGACAGTCTTATACAAAATATGAATAATTAATTTAAACATAGTACAAACATCCAAGATGAACATATTTTAGAAAATAATACAGTCTTAGATTGTTTTGATTAATTAATAAATAAAATAAAACAAATTAACTTTAAATACATAACTACTGCAATATAGTACACATAAGATGTGTATGTTTTTTTGTTGATACTTTAAAAATCACATTTAAATTCACAAAAATCTGAACTAATTAAATCTAAGCTCAATGCACACTTTTTATCCTTTTTAAGCAATGAATGAGATTAATGTAAATAAGTATTCAATGCTAAAATGATTAACACATAGTACTTCACATGGTTCATTAAATATAAAATAAGTAGTAAATAATAATATTGTATACAATAAACAATTTGTACTTTTCAACACATAACACATACAAGATAGTCAGAAATGTACATATCATAATAAAAAAGTTTTGGATTAATTGTATAAGATAATGAATTGAATAATTTTAGTGTATAATTATTGTTTCACGGAAGGGCCTTCTTGTGTATTATAACTTGGTGAATACGGCGGTGGGTTACAATATTCCTGAAGGCTTTGTTGGCTTGGCACAGGCATAGTCACGTGGGACTGAGAAGAAGTTTGCTGTTGTGGCTGATACTGGTACGTTTGCTGAGGATAAGGAGCTTGTGTAATGGGCTGATGGACTTGTTGAATAACATAAGGTCCACCTTGAACAGGATAGACTGGGGTCTGAAGGGTTTGACTGGTTATGGTTACATATGGTGTGGTATGCAATGTAGGTGGAGTTATAGCATTAAGTTCATCATCATGGAAACATTTCACCACATAAATCTGGTACACTACAACAACTATTAAAAAATAACAATGTTGAATAATAGAAAATATTATTAATTTTAACAGTTTATTTTAATATTATATAAGTAAACATTTGATACATACTGCTTACAGGAATTCCAATAGGAATTATATCAGGTGATGCATTTTTGACTGTAGTAAAACCAATAAAGAGAACAAAGAAAACAAAAAATATTGAGTTAATCACCAACCACTGACTGATACTTTGAGCGTTACGCTGAAAATAAATACATATACAATTAGACATGATTAATTTTTCATTTAAATATTGTCTATACTCTATTCAGTTAAGAACTGTCAAACTGTACTCGGCGGCTGACTTTTAAACAGGAGCATAGCATTACTATAAGGCAGGCATACAGATAGTTCACTCGATAGGGGAGAAAAACTGATACAGGTATTGCCTGATTGCCATACGACAAAACTGGACACCGTCGAGTACAATTCTTAACTTAGGTACAATATATTGTATATTAACAAAAAAATTAATTCGTTCAATATACATTAAGAACAATAGCATATTATAATCTGTTAACTTTTATAACAGTTATACTTTAATCATAATAATACATAATATAATTAATGCAACTAAGATCATATTAATAAAAGTAGATTTTTCAAATATTTTTTAAATTTTTGATTAGTTATTATTGAAACATCTATGCGTAGGTATACACATAATTATATCAATTATATTTAGAACTGATAGTTCATTAATTTCGATAATGGTATTATATTTTAAAATATGTGCAAAATGATACATTGGTTTCAGGTTTGACAGATTTATGTTAATTTTTAATAACATGTTTTTCCAGGAACTTGTTACATTAAAAAAATTGTTTTTAATCTTAATAAATATTAAACAGTAGATATTAAAATTCCTATAAAAATAATAATGTAAGAAAGCACAATTTATGACAAAATCAAGCCAAGTTGGTACTTATTGCAGCATTTAATCAATATTAGATAACTAACTAAATTATCAAATTACCTAAGTAATGTCGCTCTGTTAAATTCTACATTATCTCTGAGTGCCATTCTAATTTTAAATAAACCAAGCTCTCTATCGTTGTATGTTACAAGCCAATTTGGACTCTTTTTCTTTTTTTTAGCTATGAAATTCTTGATTAAAATATATTTATTTCCTATTCTTCTTTTTAATTGTTAAGAAAAAAAAACTACTTGTAATAATTTTATGTTCTATTTCTTACTGTCACAAAAATTGTATGGTATTAAATATTAATTGATAAACAAATAAATAATATAAAGGTATATATTATATATACTGTATACTGATATTGTAATAACGGTATAAATGGTTAGTACAAAGATTAGTAGAAGTAAGGTATGTGATCTATAATGATCAATGTTTTTTTATCGTTTACACAAACTATTATGAAAAAATTTTAATATGATAAATATTGATTGTATATATTATATGTTATTATTACCACATACGCATTAACAAATTGCAGAAATTATACGGCATATATCTATATAGTCAGAAAAATTAACAATTGAGTATGTCAGCAGGCTATTTGATATCAAGAAATGTTTCTTTTATATTTAATAGATAAATAGGTGGTTATTGATATTTGACACTTTAATTTTATACAAGAGACCGCAGATGAAAACATTATAGAAAATAATATATTGAATACAGCACAATATTGTTTATCAAGGAAATTATTAAGAAATAATTGATTCACATCAACAAAGATAATAAGCACAACAATGTTCTTGTTATGGATTATGTTATTTTTTTTATAAATCATAAGTGTAAGGTATTATCCATCAAGACCTCAGGTTTCCAACTCTTGGAAACCATTTATACATATAGCAATATGTGTAAGACAAGAACAATATGATTTTAATACACTTATAGAGATACTTATCAAAAATATCAACAGACAGGTATATTTGTGATTCTATATCTCAAGTATTATATTGTTTTGTGCAAATATGTAAAATATATACAATAGGTATAATGCATTATGAGGTTAATGAACCATTATTCATAATATATTTTGTAGATGTCATATTGAGCCAAACACTTGTTGAGCATATCATAAACTGTTCCACTACCTAAAAACTGTTACCTATTATTTAGTTGTTAGACATCTATCTACAACTCAAGAGTCAAGGTACAGTATACTTTAATCAATATAAAGCTTGAAATTTAATAACTGTGAAAAGTTACGTTACACTTAGAAATATTTAAAATATATATTCAACTTACTATAAAAGTGGCCTTCTTTAGGTTCAAATTGACATAGAAAAATAGAAAAATAATAAATAGTTGACTAAATAGGTTGAAATCTTTTTCCAATGGTTGAACCCGATGGTCGCTGGAGATAGATGATCCATCATCTACGAAACAAAGAAAATAATACATTTAAAATAATTTAAGAGTATAATTTTTATTTAGATAAAGTATCAATGCAAATAGGTATTTGAAATATTTATACACCATTGTTACTATTTCTAAACAAATGAATAATGATTATATTACTTATCAATTATCATTATTCAAATGTAAATATAATAACAGTTTATTTGTTTATTTATACTATTATGATAATTTTATTTTTTATTTTTAAATATAAAAAAATATGCAAGTGTGATTCAAAAAGATGTCTATTAATTATTCTAGATGTGAAATATAATAACTAAAAGTTTCAATACATTTTGTTTATTTGTAGTAATATTTTAATGGTAAACGTGTTAATACTATTAATACCTATGAGCATTTTTAAATCGTGTTATAATATCTAAACTCAATCCTCGTTTTAAAATTTAACTACCGAAAAACCGGTAATGTTCTTGTTACCTTTAAGTTTCATAATATGTCAACTCACCCTAGTATTAAAATTAATAACACGAAATTGGAGCTGCTGAACTTGTAATTAGGTATGTTGTATATGTCAAAGACGGATACAAGTATACAACACGTGGACTTTTAGTCTTTAACACCACAATCACAATTTACCATTAAAACATTAGATATTTTTATTGAAAATAAACAAATAATGCACACTTACCATACGAAGAATACGCTTTTACATGGTATGATGAATGCGAATATGGGGTGATGTTTAGCGTAGTAATAGCTCGCACCGTGAGTATTATACAAATTAACTAAACAAACAAAAACACACACATTAGTCATAAACAAGCTTCATACAAAGGCATAATATATTTTTATAAAGCTAATGCGATATGTATAAGTGGTTATAATATACGGTGATATAAAATGAGTTTTACCGTAGATTTATATATTTTGTTTAAATATTATCTAAACGTGACACATGATATAGTTTTTACGATAAAAAAAACACTCGGATAAACTGTTAATTCGGCTTAATGCTATTAAAATACACGATTCAATTGATTTTTTTTAAAATATAATTAAAGCAACTACTTAGTACCTATACAACAACTATATAGTTACTAAGATAACACTGCAGTATAATGATGAGCAAAGACGTATTATTAACATTATGACACAATTATAATGTATAAACATAACACCACTTGAAAGAAATGTTGGATTATATGATTTCATCTCTTAGATTCGACATTTTAAAATAATATATAACGATTTCACAAAAACGTTTTATTTTTTATGACGTATAACGTGACAAAAAGATTAGAATTTTATTAATTTAAAATAAAATAAACACATATCTAAATTTCTTGTTAAAACACCGCAGATAGATATTTCATATAAAATGTAGTATCTAATAGTCAAATGATAATATATATGTACTAATTTTTTACCGTTGTGGGATGAATATTATTTTCACTTTGATGAACATTTGGAATTTATACAGTTTTTAACAATAAAATATTTTATTACTAACAAAGATAAAGGTACGATTGTAATTTTTTTTTATTATTAAAAATACTTATGAAACACGATTAATTTGAATTTAGTGACGATTATGCGACTGCAGCACATTTCGAGGTCAGCAGATAGAAAACGTTATTGTGTGACAACAAAAGGGTTTTGAATAGTCCATAACGATATAATATTATTTGATGAAACGTGGCCAAACAAAGACAAATTGACGGACCAACAACTTTGTACAACTGGTGAACGGTTATATTGTAATACTGAGAACATATTAAAATGTTTAATACTTTGGCCTTAGATTTTCAGATTTTACTCGAGAACTATTTTACCGACTAAACAAATAATCCAGAAGTTATAATTGAAGTCGCTAAAACCGTAAACTGCCATTAAACATATTCTACATATTATTATTATAAGGATTAAGTAGGTACATTCTATACACTCAACGTCTTGTGAGAGTACAATTAATGAAAACGAATTTTATATTAAAAATACACAATACACACAGATATACGATAGACAAAAAAATTATTTACAAGTGGCATACACGGTACACGCGACTTGTGACATACCTAATTACACGTCGTTCACGTGAGTGATATTAAATTTTAATATTGAGTGCTGCAGTGTAATGTTAAACCGGACCTATCTAATGATTAGGTCTCACCAAGCAGAGAACTAATGAGTAAACATTATTTTCTCTATAGGGTTAGGTTATGTATGTGTAATAAGACCAGCGGCCCTGAAAATCGAATGGCTTATTCAGATGTTTTAATAAAACAATCATTTGGTTTGACCATGACAAAAGACTGAGAAATGCAAAATAGTATATATTATATTTAAGTGATTATATTATGAAATAGATCGACGAGTGTGTAACGATCAACTTATACTTAAATACTTGATACTTGATATAACATACCTAAAGTATATAGATCACAATATATTTTCTAACGAATACCTATATACTTTGGAGATACACGATTATTCACAATGATAAATCCGTTGATAAATCGTTGAGCCGATTATGGAAAATGCTTCAATAAAATATAACTTAAGCCAAAGAAAAAATTTAAACGGTATGGATAACTTTGGTAGAAACCAGAAATTCGAGAGGTATTATAAAAAGTTTGTACGTCAAAGTATATAATCTTTATACGAGGATTAGGTACAGAATAACCCCTAAAAAATCATTGTTGCGACCAATGCGGGAGGTGCTGCAGTCTAAATTTAATTTATGGTCGAAAACGAAATACTTCTAATCGTAGTGCACACCCTAAATATACAACGTCACGCAGTGGCGTGCTAAACAATTTTCAGACCCGAGGCAAACTACACCATTTGTCCACCCACCCACACCTTTTAGTCTACATTTTTTTTAAAAATTAATAGTATACATATTATTATTCAAAACTTTTTAACGTATTAAATTCATTGCTCGGTACCCACCCTACCATTTATTTTTTGAGGTGATTGCCTAAAAAAAGCTACTGAGGCACGTCACTGACGTCACGTCCTAAACACTTATTATTTCCATTCGATTCTTTAGGCATTAGTCGATGTTTAAATTAGGGTGTTAAATCGTGTTGTCAGTCGCGGCAGCATATGCGCAATTTCGTGAAATTTCAGATGCAGCAAAAAAATAAAATATTGTTGGCTGCAACTTTAAATAACCCGAAAAGTATCCATCGTCAACGCGGTTGACATTAACCATTAGACGCAGTTATTTATTGGCAGGACCACGTGTGTCCTTTTACCGATATACTACGTTAGTAGTTTACGACCGGCATTTCATATATATTCAAAATATGTACACTTAATGTGATTTGAAATTAAGAATCGAATACTTTATAGCCTATGGGCATCGACTAAATAGCTGCTGACTGATGAACGGTGTGTGTCACTTAATGTCAGAAAAATATAATAAACTACCCCTGCTCCAACAAACATAAAATAGAAAAAATGTTTCTGGTATGAAAATGGTAAAACAGGGTAGGTATAAGAAGCAACTAATAATGTTATAAATAATATTTCTCGTTACTCACCATGTCGAAAATTGATATCACCCACGCACCCTTGCGCACGTTAGAACACCCGAAACAGCATCTGGAGTCCGCCATTGGTCTAAAATAACAACAATAACGGCGTATAACGATATGATTGATGTGAGTATAGATGGAATAGTATAATATTATAATCGTTGTTGAGTTTTTGTTTTGTTACAGGATAACAATATAATATTTTATTATTACAACGCTGTAATACGACAACGACCGTGTCGATGCGGCGGTGAACCGAACTCAAATGGTACGGACGCACGCGGAGCGTCGCTGCTAGACATACGACGCGGTCGTCGTCGTACTCGTACAGGTGCAGGTGAGGTGCACCGTACACACGACGTATCGTCAGCGGAGCGGTGTTCGGACCCGGAGAGGCTTTTACCATATAGTCCGTCAATTATTTATTTTTTTTTTTATAGATTATTTTATTATAATACCACTGCTGGATGACGCATAGTATAGTTATTAGAAACATATTAATTAATTATAATCGTATATCTATATCTATAGACATTATACATTAGTTTATCATAGTACTATTATGATGATAATTTCATCCCGTTATCGATTTGTACAAAGCCGTTGCTGGTGTTATCACACAATAAAATATGTAATTATTTGCATTTAATTTATTCTGGGAAAATATTATTAGATTCGTAGTTAAAACTGAAAATAATAGACGCTTTGGTAATAAGTACCAACTCAAAAAACTAAATGAACCGTCGGAGTTATTTCGATGAATTTTTCAAGACTGCACAGCGGACACTGCAGATCTTATAATTATAACATGAAATCGTAGTCGGACACCGCGAGGTGTGACTAGAATATTATAACATAAAAAAGGCCCAGGTCTGTTCTCTTAAAAAAACAGCCTTCCACTAAGGGGTGTATCGTGGATAAACGACGATCGTCAAGACAAAGTCATAACATTATACGTATTACCATCGATTAACCATAGCATTTTGTGTATACAATCAATGGTATTAAATGAGTTATGTTAATATAATAATAAAATAATAGTTTATCGTTTTTAGTGCGTCTATATAGCCGTTTGTTTGCATCACACACACATAAACAAATCGAAATGATCATAATATTATTAGACATATATAGTACATATTGTGTGTACAAAGTATCAGATTTGACCAGTTTGGGAACCATTATATTGTTATGTCGACACAAAGCAATCGTCGTGTTGTAGTGTACTTACGTACAGTAAATACTTAAACACTAACACACGGTCGTATTTTTATTAAGGTATGCCAGACGAGTGACGACCGTACAATCAGTATATATTGTTCGGTTTGGCGCCACCGAGAGCGCACGTTATATATTTTTTAAGTTATAATGTTATTATTTATTTATATAAAATAATATAAGAATCGCATTAATATAATCTCTGATGGATTTACCTCGCCCCTTCCCGTAAAAGAAGCGCACTCGCAAGTACTCGGTTGGTCGGGGACTAGGAGGGGGTCGTTTTGGTCTGGTTTTCTTTTAAAAAACGTAGGTATGGTTTATCAATTTCTGAAATCGAACACTCCTATCAGACAAAAGTGTCTTCAAAAATGTCAAACCGATTTTGTTTGCAGGTTTCAAATCGTGTGAGCATTGACATTTAAGAGAGTTGAAATGAAAACGACGGTCAATGCTTTCCGTTCTTATTTTTCCCGCGTAACAGGAAAGAATCATTCACAAAAAAATGTTTTGTGTTAAATGAATAGGGACGTCGGTTTTATTATAAACTCTATCACATTGATAATATATTTTAGTATTTTATATGCATATTATAATCGTTGTTATTCTTTGCGGGGGCAGATGTCTGCACTTGTCGATAATGCATAATATAATATAAAGAATAACAGTGTTAGAAATAAAATTATAATCATAATTTATTATGATTTATACAATGTTTCATTATTAATAAAATAATAACACATACCTACGTGAGAAATGAGTTATCCACCGTCTGATACCAGGAATAAAAAGAGATATTACATCCATATTATCGTCGGAATATACACATATATTTTTAGTTATAATTATGACATTATGTTTAACATTAATTGTTGTTCTATAGACAAATTTTATTTTAATGATTGAATTTCTCCATTTTGTCATAACAAATAGGAAACATGAATAATAGTAATATTGTAACCGGAGAAGCTGAATAATCGACAATAATATAGTTTTACCTATAGTTACGACTTGCGGTCAAGTGATCAATTGTATGAAAATAAAAAGCAATCACTCAGATAAAAAAAAACCGCTATCTATATGAGCTACGAATGACTGGGGAGTACGGAACCAAATTAAACTACCTACCTATTTCATGGAGGGTTATATAATGAAAAAAACACACTTGAGTTGCCGGCTTAACAAGGTTTTAATAAGAGATGGAGAGTGTAGGTACTTAAAACATTATCTGGGAATATCAAACTAAAAACATATATGCTGTCACGCCTGCACCGAGTGTTTAATTTTCGATGCAAGTTGAATCGTTGGAAACGACCCGATTTCGTCACAGTAAATATGTTTTTTAACGCGTCGGATAAGTTAGTGTCCAAATCTGATTGATGAACATGTTGATGCGTATTGCTTAATCAGTCGCATCAGTCATCAAATACTGGCTTGTGGGTGCGTGTTACTCTCGTGATGTTCTATATGAAACAGTTTAGCGAATTTAAATGGCAAGAACGGCAAGAACAGTTTGTTATGTAGATTGTAGGTAGTATTATTGTCGATATATATGATTTTGGAGGGAAGATAATTACAGGCTCGCGCGAAATAGCTCGCACTTCCCGCCCTTGTCATGCAATATGCAATATTCAATATTATTAAAAAATACAGACAATTTTATGTATTCAGTAATTATTTTTGTATTTAATATCGTTTATTAATGTTTGAATGCCACACTTGGAATATGGGATTTGGGTAATGACATATGCTAGTCACATAATTGTCGTAACCGAGTGACACAGCACGCAAAACAATCGATTGAAAGGAACAGTCCGAATGCGATAGTACTATAACATATGTCATCGTATAAAGGTTCAAATATATCCTGATGTTTGCTGAATGGAAGGTCTATATTTCGTTTTAGCAAAATGCTTTCGGCAAACCAATAACACACAAGACACCAATATTACAATATTATTTCGTTGTCGTTGAGCCATATCATAAAATAAGAATAATACAAGCGATAAATTACAGTTATTAATTATTGTTAAAAGTAGATTAACATGGCAAATGCAGTCATACAGAACGTCCCACACCTAATTTTTTCCCATGTGATTCGAGTTTTCGTTACCGTCTGTACTCCGTATAATCACTCGAAACCGTCAAGATTCAAGACTTGAGCATTAAATTGTTAAAATGTTTCTCAAGTATTTGTGTTATCGACACCATCACTGCATTTTTAAACATAATTACATCGTTCGCATAAAAGTTCCTATAAACATAATGTTTTATGTTTTCTGGATACCTATGACATTTTTTGTTTCTAACCGATTTTTCGGAAGGTTTTCGTTGTGTCATGTTTACGTACTTAATAATTAAATCATATTAACGATTTATAGATTTTCTTTGTGGAGGAAGAATATCTAGTATTGTGGTATGGTTTTTTTCCACAATACTTCAGTTTTTAAAAACCAAAACTACAATTAACGTATAAATATTGTTTTAAATACGTTGAATTTTAAAATATTAGATAACACTTTTTATATTACATCTGGTTAGCCTTGGCAATCAATTGCTTTTATAAAATATCAGCTGCTATTACATTTTTGTAAATTGCGTAGTCAGTTAATAAACAAAACACCTAAATTACCTATATAATATTTGAGATGGGAATGGTAATTTCAAATAAATGTAAGTAAAAATGTGCTTGCTAGCTGTTTTTTTAAGTTACTTATTTGAGCTGGTCAAAATTCCTCCGCTGAAATCTGAAATGACTCCACTGTCTATAAGAAACTTTGATCTTGTAAAAACCTTGAATTTAAGTATAATTAACAATAGTTTTTTCAATAATTTTTGTAATCATAACTTTTAATTTTATATAAATTATATAAATATATAATTAGGTATACAATAATGTATTTATGGGCCATATATAACATACTTAATTTTGCCTTAATTGAATTATTGTCATACTAAATTATAGAAATATAATAATCTAATCTAATGGTTATAACTCATAGTAGTTATAAAAAATTCACCAACACAGTAATACTATAATTATGTTTTAATTAAGACAACAGTTAAAAGCAAGAAGATTATTATTATAAATTATTTTTGTTAATAAGAGCATCAATAATAAGACTTCATTATAGCAATAAGAAAAGACACTATTGTTCAAAAATAATTACTTTGCAAGGAAATGTTAATTTTTTAATTTTATTGATTTTAAATACATTTATAATAAATTGAACATAAGTATTAATTAGTATTTATTCTTTACCCTTTTAAATTCACAAGGAATGCTCTGAGGCAGATATTTTTTATGAACAGTTCAAATTAATTAACATTGTCATTGACTAACAATGATAATTAAGTAGTTTCCATAACATTTTCTAGTTTTTAAACACAAACAAATCACTAATATATTATTATACACAGTAAAACTTCCGTAACAGTCACCTTTAAAAGACGGTCATTTTTTTGTGGTCCAATCAAGTGTTATGGGAAAAATACATTAATACCTCTATATAGCGGGCACTCTAAATAGCGGCAAAATTATAAGATAAAATAATAGAAATTATGTACACATGTATGGTTTGCTCAAATTACTTATGGCAGTTTATAGTTATCTATTTGAACTTTTAAAATGATGCAATGAACATGCAGTGTATATGTACTTTATTATGTTACATTAGTTGTCAGTGTCAGTTGAAAACGGTTTGAAGTCCATGGTTATGATGATGCCCAAACAAAAACAACTAATTGTAGCAGAAAAAATGAGACTGTTAGAATATTATGAAAAATATGTGAGTGAGGGTACTCTCACAAATAAATTTGGAATAAAAAAATTTGCAATTGTACATGTTTATAATAGGTATACACAACTTTTAAATTTTAAGTTGTACATACATAAGAAAAAGTAAATAACTCTTGTCATAAATACATTTTTCGGTATGTGCATAGTATTGTGTATATATTTGTTTTTTTTTATGCACTCTGTATAGCAGTCATCTGGAAGTATTGCACTTCTATCAATCACCTTTGTAGGTATAAATAGTGGTCATTATTTTTGATCCCTTCAGTGACCGTTACATTGAAGTTTTACTGTACAATAAATTATAATAAATTGGGATACATTTGGTTTACCTAACTTAACCATTTTTTTTTTGATTTTCTAAAACTTGATAAAATATTAATATAATAATAATAAAATATACAAGAACTTATGTTGGTTCTTTTATTTTGTAAAAAAGAGGAAGGACACATCTTTTGATTCCACTACCAGCAAAATCTAAAATATACTGATGAACCTAATGTTCTAATCAACTAGATTTTTTTTATTTTTAGAGATTTTATCCCAGATTTTCTTATAATTACTTATTTCATAACTATCATAATTTGTATCCTATTTTACTACATGATATAATTTTTTAACAAATTTGATATCTCGTTCGATATTCTATTTGATATTATTTTGAAATATAAGCATTTTAAATTAGTTGTATACATAAATTAACCAGAATAATAACAAGGCAAAAATGTTAAGCCTAGATACAGTAAACTCACTAAATAGTGAAATTAAGTAGTGAGCTATTGAAACAGTATGAATGTATGATATTCATAAATCATAATGATGCTTAATACATAAAATATCAAAATGAACACATATCAAATATTATCGATCATTGAAATATTCCCCTAAATATTCCATACATTGCCTGATATAATATGTACATTACTAGTTACACGTCGAAAACTCGAAAAACAAAATAATCCAATGAAGTAAAGTTAATTGAGGTTAATCACTTAAATGCAAATTAGTAATTAAATACATAAGGTTAACATGATTAACTTGATTTGGTCTAGGTAGGTACTACATTCAATATAATATCATAGAGTAATAGGTATTAATTTTGACTCAAATACACTAGATAATTAATTGATAAGTAAAGAGGTTTCTATATTTAAAATTAAAAAAAAAAATCCAACTCACAAATATAAAATATATTATTTGGGAATATTATGCATTTATGTACTTTAAAACTCGCTTATTTGTAACTTATAATTATTTAAAGTACTCAATATCTTCCGAGATAGGTTTATCCTCGGGTTTATCTGTCTGAAGCTTGTTGCTAAAAAAAACTTATTTAAAAACTAAATTTACTAAATTTTTATAGATATTGAATTTGATTTATAGTCTATCATAATAATATTAAGTTTAGAGTAGTTATCAGTTAATTATTACTGGTTAAGAAAGTTAAGGGGTTGCATGTTCCCAGATTTTGATATCTTATAATACGTTAATAGGCAAGTATATGTACTATGTAGTTATATAGGTATGAGGTACTTATCACATTTGTCTTTGATAAATAGGTTTAAGTTTAAGTGGAAAATGTAGGTGAAATCAGAATGAATTCTTATCTTTTATATATTTCACCATTTATCTACTTGGTTAGATAAGTACCTACCAATTCATTTCAACAAATAGAATGCAATATCGTCAAGATGAACAATATTGACGGCAATTACACCTGAGTCAATCCATTAATTTATTAAAACTTCCGTGTTATAGCTCCCACTGTCCACTCTCCATATTTTGTCCCACCACTAACATGTAGTGGGTATTAAAGACGTTACATATAAATTGTGTTTAGTATTTTTTTTCCATTTTATTAGACATATAAAACCAGTATAAAATATTCTATACTTACCGAGCAGTTTGGTATGGCAGCTATGACACTATATTTGACAATAATGAATCTTCTGTATTCACCCAAAACGTTTGAGTGGAAGGAGTATATTTTAAAGAGTTACCAAATTGTCTTATAATATTTTTTTTGCCGCGTTTACTGAAAATGTAAAGATTTGAAGTTATTGTATTAATCTGTCGAAACAGACCAGGGTTATGAATTATGATGATGTTTAGTTGCTAGCTCCACGTTTACCTGAGACTATTCAATACCAAACAGATCACAATATTTTTACATCACGAACGGAAAGATAAGAAATGAAGATTATGAATAACTTGAGATGTCTAGTTTTCGAAAACTACAGAATTCGATCTTAAGTTGACTCCGGTCGTCTATAATTAAATCTACAAGTGACTAAGTATAGTATACTGTTAAATGCTTATGGCTAAAACTGCTTTAGGCCTTGCCTTACCAATGTTATCACAATATCACAGTTTGATAGCGCATGACCATCGTAGCATAGAACAATGATATATTCATAGATAAATATTTATAATTTATGATGAGTGTAATGTTGTTCCATTTCGACGATAACAAGGCATAATATTTATAACAATTAATAATTAATATTTAATGCAATCATTTAACATTTCTGTGTTCTATTTTCGATTAATTTGCATATAGGTAATTACTGCTAAGCACATATAGAATTAGAAAATAAATGTTCACCTACAATACTTCGAGTTCCAATCCTTGATTTTCACTTCCACAAGGAAGGTAATGAACGGAAAAAAGAATTCTTGTCTGAATTAAAAATTGCATGACGTTAAACTCAACGAGTAACTAGTGCTGGTCATCACCAATGTGCATCAAAATTGTACCTGGAGTCATCCGTCAAATGAACAGGGAGAAAAAAAATACTTAAAGCAGTATCATAGTCAGTTTAAATATGCATGGGTGGGAACAATTGCCACCATTGGTGAAAATAGGACAAGGCAGTTATAAGGAAATTTATATTAATTTACTTTTTGTTCTAATGCAATCAATATAGGTTTTGAGATTCTATTATTTTATGGGTTAGTATAATTTTGCAATCCCATACCTAGATATTAAGTATCTACTTGATAAAATGTCATAGTTATGATTCAAATGAGAACAAAATATATTGCTGAAATTAAAAAAAAATGAATATATTATTCTGAACAGTACATGACAGAAAATGAATTGGTTACAAACACTATTGAACAAAATTAGTTTTATAGTACAGTCCCTGGAAGAAGGGAGATTGAAAAAAAAAGTAGGTACCTTTAGGTAATTCATTCTTCATTAAATATTTATTTTGTTTTTCATATTTAGTATTGTAAATTTTTGGTTCAAACTAGGCTTACTAGGGAAGAACTTGGATATCAATGTCCGTAATAGAAACCAAAGAATTATAATTTTGTTACCTTTTTCAACTTCAATTCAAAGCAGTACAGAAAATTAAAACTTATACCAAAGTAATCCTGAATAAAGCATTTATGTCAGAAGTCATTATAATGGTTTAATCAAAATTTGAGTGTTCTAAAGCAATAGTTTTAGAGAACCCAAACATTGTAGATGGCTTAAAAAAGTTTGAGCGACTTTAAAACATTCATTTAGATATTAAATTTGATCATATGGAGAGATCAAAAATTAACTTGTAAGAAATTGATAATTATTAGGATTTATCACATAAAACCACTTATTTATTAAAAAAACTAAACATTAGGACAACAATACAAGCAGTGGGATACCCAGGAGGGCTAAGGTGGCTTCAGTAATTTACTACATAAATCTTATGTAATAGAAGGCAAAGTACAAACCATGATATTTCGGAAAACGGTTTAATAGAAACATTTAATATATTATTAATATTATTTGTAGAGGTTTTTACGGTTACGTGATATAGTAATAACGACCAAGTATAAGGTAACAGATATCAAATTCTGATTTCCTTAGTTTAGCCCTCCCCCCATCATTGAAAAATCTGGGTAAGCCACTGAATACAAGTATGTATTTTATATTTTATATGTTTTAGGTATACTTAAGAGGACACTACACCCGCATGTGTTGTCTCCGTCTTACAAACGTACAACATATCAAAAATTGTTTTGCGCAAAATAAAACCCCTCAAGCTGTAGTCCAAACTAAGCAACCAAATTTTCACACTGTAAACAAGAGAACATTTACTGTGCAACATCGTTTTTATATTTTCGATATCACAAATAAAAGAAAAGTTCTTATTGCTTATTTATAAATTAATTATTTCAAACTTCAACAACTTTTCTTGTATTTGTGATATTGAAAAATAAAAACGATGTTGCACAGTAAATGTTCTCTTGTTTACAATGTGAAAAATTGGTTGCTTAGCTTGGACTACAGTTTGAGTGGTTCTATTTAGTGTAAAACAGTTTTTGATAGGTTGTATGTTTGTAAGACGGAGACAGCACATGCGGGTGTAGTGTTCTCTTAACATTTGTTAAATATAAATGTGAATTTAACTTGTCAAATCAATTAATGTTCTCAGTACCATCATTGGTTATATATAATAAACTTCTAGTGTATTCATACATTATGTTTATTCTTTATTATCATACAATTTTTGCCACAGAATGAACATAAAATTTAAATATAAAACAATTATAGTTGAGTTAATATTTTTAATAGTTTGTCTGCAATTTTTTCAAGACAATACTTAATCTTTTGACAACATCTTCTAGTAGACTAGATGCACCAATACGGAATAAACTTGCTTTCAACCAATCATTTCCCAATTGGTTCTTTACCAATATAAGCCAACTCAATGCCTGTTCATTAAATTTGATTCCTCCAGCCGGTTTAATACCAACCTAAATACACAGTTTAACAAAAGTTTTAAACTTTAAAGAAATTCTTACAATTTGCTACTGAAAATTTGATAATTAGACATAAATGTTGTACCTTATAACCTGTCACATCATGATATTTTTTAATTGCTTGACACATAATTACTCCATGAGACAGTGTGGCATTCTCAGCTTCTTTTCCTGCATAACATCATCATCATATTAATATCAGGAACAAAAAAACAATAGTAACCATAACAATGTTTAAAAAAAATCCCAAAAATCTATAAGAAACATTCTGTTATTTGTGGTGCTAAATTCTAAAAAAAATTGTGGAGACAAATCTAAAATTGTTATTCCCACTCACTAACTTCAATTTGATATGAACCCCTATTTAAGAAATGAAGCAATATATGAGTTTGACACTACTGTGTGTCATTATCAAACATACTGTATATACTATATAGTGAAGGATGAAATACAATTTTGTTTGTTTAATCTTTGTATACCAATTAATAAAATTATCAGTCTGTATCTAGAGTCAAACCAAAGATAAACAAAAATACTGATAAATAAGAAAAGTAAAAATTTAAAGGGTGTCAGAGCTCTATTTGTTTTATCTTTATCCACACGTCCCACACACTATATCAAATTTACATTTACCATAACCAATCATTTGTTCTCAATTTAAAAATTAGAATAAATTAATCTTTTACTAAACTTAAATCAAAGAATATCATCCAAAGCACTTAATAAGCTTATATTGATATTTAAATTTTTAAGTGAGTTATAAATATACTGTAAGAACCTAAAATATTAAAATTTCAAAATGTTTATAACTCACTTTCAAATTTAAACATCAATAAACTTTAAAATGCCCTGGAATAATATTCATGTTACAAATCTTTAATTTTAATAATATGAAAACTAATGATATAAGTGTAGTATAGAGAGAAAACAAATGTACAGTGACTTTCTGTGAAGAGCTTAGAAATTTAGTAAAAGATGGCTAGCTTATATAATTGTATTTTATTATATATTTATGATTCATACCAGTAGATGTTTTAATAAAGTCTGATCCAGCCATCATAGCTGTCATAGCCATTTTATACACAGTGTGATAAGAATCCAATTCAGTAACAGACAGAATCGTTTTCAATGTAACATCACCATTAACACACACACTTTTGATGGAACGCAAATCATGATATAGTCTATTAAAATCGCCAGCGTTTGCTAGACCACGATCAATTACAATATCTATTTCTGCTGCTCCTTGTGAAATTGCATATTCCACTTCTGTTATTCGACTACTCAATGGCACTTGGCCCATAGGAAATCCTCCTGCAACTAAGCATATTTATTATTAGAAATCATAATGTAAAAATATTTTATTTCATGTGTACTTACCGGAAGCAATATCTATGTGCTCATTTTGACAATTTATGCTTTGTACAGCATCAGCTACACGTACAGAAGATACACAAACTGTTTGAGGAGTCAATGTACTGGTAGTGAAGTAATTATAAATTTCACAAGAATGATTGGATGCCATACTTTCAATATCAGCTTTTAACATTTCTTTGGTAAAAGTTAGAGCCTAAAAATGTTTTTTTAACTTCAATATAAGTAATTTAAATCAACATAAACAGAACTTTACCAAAGCAATAATAATTTCCTTATCTGCTAATGTAACAGAAATCTCCACAAAACCATATTTTTAGTATAACCTTAAACAGTCAAATCAAATGTTACCAGTAAACTTTAACAATCATTTTTGAATTAAGGAAAAATCGATTTAGTAATCTGGTACAGAATATTATTATTTATATGAATTCAGATTAGTTTAATTTCAGAAACACCTGCATCTAGAAGTTACTTTAGATTTGATTGTATATTATAGGTATAAATAATATATTTTGTGGTTTATGTATTTCCCCCTATTACTTAAATCATGATTATTTGAAATAGCATTTAGACAATATTGTATTGTAAACAATACAATAATTTATAGTATTTCAATTAGTTTTTGTAGTTGATATACCTAAAATAATATTTTAAGTTATTACTTAATACCTTGTTTACAAGAGTTTCAATAGTTTTCTGATTGTCTGTGGAATTGAGTGAAGTAAGATCCATAACATGAATCAAGAGCCCCAAATAAGAAGCTTCTACTTCAGGTAAAAATCCAACTTTGGTACATCTATCACACTCATCAACAATCGTCACAATATCCTTATCTTGATCTTTGTTACGCATCAACATGGTTTCATCTGAAAATAAATTACATCAATGGTATACTTACATAAAAAATTATTGTTCCTGCAAAAATAAGATTTGAAACACTGTTATACCAAATGGGAATTGATATCTGGAAAGCTGTATAGATTCAAATGTATTACAGTAAAAATAAGTTTGACTTTCACTTACAAATATACTTTGAGCGTGCATGTTAGGGATACAGGTATGCAATTTATATCAAGCATCAATCTAACAGACAGCAGTTGCCTATAAAGTAAGTAAAGTATAAACAATAACACCTCAGTACATTGTTAATGAGAAAACAAAGAGCCATTAAAATCAGACAGTAGGAAATATCAGAAGTATAGTAGACTTA